GGAGAGAAGCAACTTGGAACGGAGGAGAAATTTCCTGACAGTGAGAACAATTAACCAGTGGAACAATTTGCCACCAGAAGTTGTGAATGCCTCAACACTGGAAACAGAGCCGAGGTGGCGCAGTGGGTAGAGTGCAGTACTGCAGGCCGCTTCAGCTGACTGTTATCTGCAGTTCAGCGGTTCAAATCTCACCGGCTCAGGGTTGACTCAGCCTTCCATCCTTCCGAGGTGGGTAAAATGAGAACCCAGACTGTGGGGGCGATATGCTGACTCTGTAAACCGCTTAGAGAGGGCTGAAAGCCCTATATAAGTCTAACTGCTATTGCTATTGCTATACTGATGTCATTGAACCCAGAACCAATGCATGACCTCTCCCAATGGTTTCATGTCAATGTTAAACAGAGAGAACAAGGACAAATCCCCATAGCATCCCAGTATCTCATCTCATATCACCATCGAGTTGAACTATCCACTGAGGGAGAAGTGAAACCACTGCAAAATAATGCCTCTAATCCACAAAGCCAATCCAGATAACTACCATGGAAGATATCAAAAGCTATTGAGAGGCTTATTAGAACCAAGACAAGCACAATGGCTTCATCCAGAACCTGACAAAAGTCATCTATTAATGTGTCTCCATCCCATGTCCAGGTCTGAATTCTGACTAAAAGGGGTACAGCTAATATGCTTCATCTAGGGTGCTCTGTACCTGATTCTTCACCACTGTAGGAACAATCTTGTTTACCCTCCCTCATTGATTTCTGATAGCAGTTCCTGCCATTTTGAGGTGGTGTATACAAAAATTGGCCATGAAATAGGCATATCATTTTAAAGCCACCATCACAACAGAGAAGGCTCAGTTACAGTCGTGATAAGAGCTGAAGGACCAGGTTAGGGAGAGATAGTCATGGAGAAAATCTATTTATATAGTTGACAACAATTTGATGGCAGCCAATCAGCATCATCAATCAATCCCATCTCTATTGTATCCCTCAGATCCTCCCCTCCTGTTGACTGAGTCCCTTCCCAATTTCTAACAATGACTGCTGTCGAGCAACTGCTACATCTACAGCAATCTAAATAAAGATTATTGGACAATAGCAATAGTACTTAGACTTATATACCATCTCAGTTTACAGAGTCAGCATATTGCCCTCAACAATCTGGGTCTTCATTTTACTGCAATCACTCTTTATGGGTCTGGAATATAACAGTTTTCGTTTGTATGAGTATAGGAAGTGGAAGAATTCTTACATACAATCTAAGAATAAAAGCAGCCCTTCTCTCTCTCTCCCTCTCTCTCTCTCTCTCTCCCTCCCTCCCTCCGTCCCTCCGTCCCTCCCTCGCTCCCTCCCTAGCTCTCTCTCTTTTCCACAAATGACCCATTACAGAAGCATGGAGGGGATCCCTTTTGATTAGCAATGCTAGCAGGAGCCTTCTGAACATGCACATAGACTTACAGCCCCTGCAAACCATCTGGGTGATTAAAATGTTCCAAAGGCATCACAAACAACAGAGACCTGAGGATTGAGACGTTAGGAGAGTGAATGGAAGCCGTGAATATAATGACTGCAATTCGTTAAAATCTCATCCTTTTTGTATCCACGTGCCGTCCAATCCCATCTCTTTAGTAGCAACAGAGGTCTCATTAGCTTCATTTTAGATAGCAAGATTTTACAGCTCGTCTGTGCTCATTCATTGTGTCCAAACTTTTCAACACTGGTACATAGTTAATAGAGTGAGAGTCTGGCAAATGAGCATTCTGATCTCTGAAAAGGAGGCCACATTTTATGGTGTATTTAGTGTGTTACTATTACCTGTTAGGACCACAGCTGAACAACTGTTACTAATAGACGAAAAATACAGCTGATCCTATTAGTGATACAGCTAACAGTTTTTACCCATCTTGGCCTGACTTGAAAGTTTACGAGCAGACATGGGTGGGGCACCAACACAGAATCCTAAAGTGAAATGTGGACTGGGAAGATAAATAAAAACATCAGAAAGATATTCTAGAAAATTAAAAGTTAAGTTCAAGTCAAGGTAGAGGGCTTCCGCCTCAGCAGATGGCAGTGCCTGAGTAGCTTTGGAAACTAAGCAAACTCAAACCCTGGTTAATGCTGGGTAACTCCCAGGACTATAGGCGAAAGAAGATTGTTTAAAAAAAAGTGCAGAGGGAAGCAATTGCTTACTGTTGCCAAGAAAATTACATGAATGTGAATCACTAGAAATCCAACACAGCTGGAAGTTGTTTCTGTTCCAAGCAGCCAAAAACATCTGACTATATGAAAAAAGAAGTGAACGTAGACTGTTACACATAAAATTTCCCACTTAAAATTCAATTTATAGCAGTATAGTGTGTTGAACATCTTGACCATGTGCACAGTCCCCTCTACCCCAATTAAAGGGCCCAAGCAAGAAAAAGACATCCCTGAAATTCACACTTGCATGAATGACATTGTTAAAAAAAAAAGAGTTTCATTAGGGTTACGGTATCTGCTGCAGAAAATCAGAGTGCCACTAGGTGGCAGCAGAGAAATAGATCAAAATCCAGCTCTTTGCTGCTCTATAGTTGTTTCCTGAATTTTTGCAGCCCAAATATCACCTAATGCTCTTGGCATAGTGCATCTAGAAAGAATGTGATTTCTACAGGTAAGTTCATGTGCAATTATTTGGAGAAGGGGAAAGGATTGATAGATCCTTCAAGCCAATGCTGGACAAATTCAGGATGGGGATCTAAGGAAGGATGTAAAAGAGTTTTGCCACAAATTCCTCAGAAAGATCATCTCAAAAACAATTCTGTGCAAAGGTGGACAGGGTGGCAAGTAGCATGTTTCAGTATGCTTACCCTTTAAAAAGCGCCAGTGTGCACCAATCTCATGATAAAGGGGCTGCTTCTTCCTTCTTTGACATCTCCACAAACATCTATGATCAAAGGATCATTCCAGGAAGTGTTGGAGAAAGAAAGATGCTTTTCTGAAGTAACCCATCTTAGACCTTTTGGAGCATATGTAGCAGACAGAGCTCTTTCCAAAGATAAGTAAAGCTGTAGAACACCAATCCTCAAACTACGGCCCATGGGCCGGATACGACCCGCCCATGCAAAGTATCCAGCCCATGGAGTGATGGGATTCAGTCCCGCCCATCACCCCATCCCTCACCACTGGCGTTATCTTCCAGCGAGCATCCACTCCAGCTGCACTTCTAGTTAGTTATTTTACTGGTTGAGCTGCCGAAGGTAAGGCCGAAGGGTTCTGGGGAGGACCAGCTGACTGAGGGGTGATCTCACCAGTGCAGCCACGTGATCCAGGGCTGGTGGGTGAGTAGGGGAGGGGCTGCTGCTGGCTTGAAAAGCAGTTCTGCTGCCAGCTTGTAAAGTAGTGCTTTAAAAGTTTTTAAAAACAGCCTTTCAGGATGTTTTTCACAGGCATAGGAGCGAGTAGAGGAGGAGCAAGTACAGCAAGGACAAAGGCAAAATGGACTGCTAAATTGGCCACGCCCACCCAGTCACATGACCATCTAGCCATGCCCACCCAGTTACATGATCACCTAGCTACGGCTACCCAGCCGGTCCAGCTCCCCAACAGACTGAGGGACTGTGAATTGGCCCCCTATTTAAAAAGTGTGAGGACTCCTATAGAAGAACCCTCAAACACCCTAAATATCTTTTAAAGGTTCTTGCAATTGCCATTCATCCTGGCAAAAGTTTATATTGATTTTTTTTCACTACCAGAGTTTTAAAAAACTGTACAAGAAGTGGAGTTAATAACCATGTAGCTGAGTATACAAAGTATATGTTACTGTCTCAATTTTGATGCTTTTTTGAAAGCTAAACAAGGCGGCTATGCTCAGAAAATGCCTGGTATCACAGTGTTGATAAGTAGTGCTAGGTATTCTCATTAAAGGCAGGTGTTTAGGTGTGTTGATCTAATTGCACAAAAAACAAACATCCTATACTGGTCTTGTGGGTACACCAGTAGCCTAGTTGTAAAAAAAAAAACCAGCAATGCAACCCTTTTCATAGTGTGAAAAGAAGGAAACATCTGCTAGAGGCAGATCAAGCTGCTTTAGAGGTACATTAGCAAGGGATAGTGAAACAGTTGGCAATTCTGTTGTGGAAGATTGGACACCACCAACAGAGTGTATACCTGAATTCTTGTCAATGAATATGAAAGTTCTGAATAGTGGAGAAGTTGTATTAATTAAACTAGTGTTGTGGTTCTGAATTCTCACAATTAGCTACAAGTTATAATTTATGTTAGAATTCTCTTGCTTCTCATCTCAGTTGGATAACTATAATTTCAGTGCAGAAACCTTTGCACATAGCATATCGCTTCATTACACAGTGTATGTGATAGTAGACAACAACTCTGTCAGCACCAATAACTGATGATGTCTTCCTACTGCTTCTCAATCTCAGAAGTTCACAAATGTTTGTCATTTGTGGATGCAGTTGCATATGTACAAAGACCCGCATTTACTGTATTCTTACACTAATCTATTTCTCTATAATTTTCTTTGTTTATTAACCACATTATACAGAGACGGATGATGCTATATTTCAGTTGCTTTCCTTCATTTAAGCAGAAGCATATCATGTGCATTGAATGTAGTTATTTTTTATTAAACTACATTATTTGCTTCATTTTTTATCCACAGGAAAATTTGCAGAAATTGGTACATATAGAGCACAGCGTCAAGGGGCAGAGCAACCTTCTACAACCAGGAAGAGTAAGTTCTCTTTTTGATTAACAGTGTTATGTAAAAATTTGAGGTTCAGTCCAATAAATGTTGAGATCAGTAGATCTGATATCCTTGATTATTTGCCAATATTCGCTATAGTATGACACTGCAAACTTTAGGGTTTCATTAAGCCATTTCTCTTTAATTTAAAAGGCAGTTAATGAGTGCCAAGAGTTGCATCTGTATTTCGATTCACATGTTGAACTACTGAATGTAAACCAAAAAAAGATGTATTTGTGCCTCTGTTTTCTTTCTCAGAAATTTCTGAAAGAAGGGACATTAATGAAAGTGTCTGGGAAAAATAGGCATCCTCGACATTTATTCTTGGTAAGATTTTGTTTTTACTCTCTATTAATATGTAGTCAGATGTACATGAATGAATCTTTGCAAATAAGCTGGCAATCAGCAATGTATTGCCTAAGGAATAAAGGACACTGGACACAGTGGGACTTTCTTATAAATAAACAGAATTCCAATTTAATGTTGCAGCAATATAAATGCTAGTTTGGACATCATTCCCCCAAACTTTTATAAATATTTGTTTATTTACTTAATAAGTTTATAGGCTGCTTATCTCATAAACGAGGATGGGGTGGTGGCTCAGTGGCTAAGTGGCTGGGCTTGTAGGCTGGAAAGCAGGGAGCCCAGGTTCGACTCCTGAGCACCATGCCATTGGGAGAGCTCTTGTTCCTTGCCCTGCCAACCTAGCAGTTCAAAAGCATGCAAATGCAAGTAAATAAATAGTTACCATTTCTGCAGGAAAGTAAGGGCACTCCATGACATCACACTGGTCACATGACTGTGGAAATGTCTACACACAGCAGTGGCTCAATGGCCTTGAAACAGAGATGAGCACTGGCCCCTAAAATTGGCAACAACTAGCAGGATAAAATCTGCAGGGACTCCTCTACATTTTACATTGTACCAATCACATATATATGACTGGGTGAAGAACAATTAAAAGAGGGTAAAAACAATACAAATATTGAGAATTTTTACAAAAACAGCAAAAATAAAAATAACAGCCAAGAGCACTCATAAACACTCAAATTAACCATGAAACATGTTCTCCCATTCTACCGGGGCCTCAGACTCGATAACAAAGCATGTTTTTCATTCTTATAAAAAGCCAGCAGAGTCAAGGCAAGTCCAATTTCTGGGGAGCAGGTAGGGATATATTCCAGAGAGATTATATTTTTGCCTATATGACCAAAGCAAACTTAAACTATACTTTAATTTTGCAGCCTAAAATTGTATTTACCTTGCTGACTCATATCACATTACTGACTCATATTCAACTAGTTACAATTCCATATGTGTTATTATGAGTCATGTATTCCCTATCCTACTGTATTTTTCAGAGTATGTTGCACCAAGATTTTGAAGAGGTAAATTTTAAAAAAAGTTTTTGCATTCTGCAGATCTCCTAAACCCTCTGCCTGTGTCATTTTAGGTGAAAAACAGGGCATGCAGAGAGTTTGAGAGGCCTGCAAAATGCTCCTGGGGGCTGGGGAGCCAAAAATGAGCATTTTTCATGAAAACAGGCCCATTTTTTGCCAAAAGAAAATGCTGTATTCAGTGTATAAGATACACCCAGATTTTCACTCTTTTTGGGGGGGGGGGGAAGGTGCAACTTATACTCTGAAAAATATGGTATATCCAATATTTTGATTTCCTTCTCCAAAATGGGGAAAATTGTATTTGTATTTACAGATGGTCTTAGCTTAACCATGGTAATTGGGATCAAAATTTCCATCATTAAGTAATGCAGTTGTAAAGCATGATGTCACGCGATTACATTGCTTAGCAATAGTAGTTCCAGCAGTTCTCAGTTACTGTCATTAAGCAAGGATCAAATGGGTCTGTGACTTCATGTGACCGTGACTTCAGTTTTCCTGCCGGCTTCCCCATTTGCTCATAGGAAGCTGCCCAGGGAAGGATGGAAATCATGATCACATCACCATGGCACACTGCAGTTGGCACTTCAATGAGTGTTCTTAAGTTTAACAGTTACTGAACATGTGGTCATTAACTGAGGTCTACCTGTATTACATTTACTTTCTTATTTGAAACCCAGTTTTAGTCTATCAGGATAGTTTTGAATGTTATTTTTGAATTCTAGTTCATAAGTAGATTGTTAGCTACCTACTTAATTTTGTGTTGTCTGAAAATTTGATTCCTTAAAAGATTTAAAAGATTAAGAGCAAGTCCTAGTCCTGGGGCTTCCCACCTGATACTTCCCTCAATTTGATGAGGATCAATAGATCAGTATCTTTTTGAGCATGGTTTTCAAACTAGTTGCATATCTACTCAACAGATATATCATTCAGCCCATACTTAATTGTCAATTAAAATGTCAAGATATATTATGTCTACATCATTCCCATAGTCTACTAAGTAAGTTATCCAATGGAAAATTGAGATAAAATTAGTTCTTAACCAATACATGCTGAATTGTAAAAATCATGAGATTGTTTTCAATGCATTTATGGTTCAAATACTTTAATATCTGCTCTAGAATCTTACAAGGAATTCAATTAAATTTGAATTCAACTACATTCTCTGTCCAAATTTACTTTTTTCTATGTACTTAATTCCAGAACATGTCAAATTATATTAATGACAGGAGGTCTCAAAGCATTCCTTTTTTTTCAGTTAGTAAATGGCTTCAGATACTAACTGCGGTGGCAAATTTACCAATAACTGGGTTTTTACCCCTTCTTGATTGATCTCTTTCCCTTACTGAAGCATTGAAATAGCACTTAGAGATATAACATAGTTTCAGTTTCAATTATGTTTTCCTAGTTTTTTGTCATTCAAATTGCAAAGACAAAGTCATTGCTATAAGCTGTGCACGTTAAAATAAAAGGAAAACCATTTCTGAATGAAACGTGAATTTAGATTGTGCTGCAAGTTGTGTGACTCAAAATTTGATTGTCTGTTCACTGCAGGGGGGAGAATAATTATCTCTTGGCAGTTGGAAATATTGCAAAAACGAGTTCTTGCGGGATTTAATGGCACATGAATAAATATATACCAGTGACATTTCCTGTTTTTCATCTCTTCTGCCAAAAATGAATAATACAGTCAGACATCTCTATTGCTATGAAGTAAAATTTGGAGTAACAATGAAGGCTAATGATTTGGATCATCAAAAATAAAACAACCTGAGTAGTCTCATGTTTAGAACTGTGTTTATAGGTTTCAGGTAACAAAACTCCTGAAAAACTGTTGGAATATTATTCCACATAGTTGGTTGATCCAGAAGACAATTATAAAAGTGGCATGGTAGGACTATGTAATGTGGTTATTAGTTCCTACTCTATCTAATAATTAAAATAATTTCCATAAAATATAAATGCCCATGTTGCACAACTGCAGAATAAATAGCAGTTTGATTGGTATGGTACTAAAACAGAATGCATAAATGGGCTTCCCTGGAAAGAACAGCTGTTGTTGAGTTTGTAGGAATCATGATAAAAATCCATGCATTGTTGGAAAGCTAGACCTTCATATAGCATCTATCACAGAATGTATTCTGGAAAGTTTTTTTTTTAATAGGGATGTTTGTGTAGAAGTGGTATGGGTTGAGATAATCACATATTTCTTAAAATAGGGCAAAAATAAACAAAAATAGTTTAAAAAGTGAAATCTTTAGCAATAGATTTCACTTGAGGACTACCTGTATTCAGTATGATAACAGTTGGAAAGAGTCTAATTAAATTTTTTAATGACATACGTAGGTCATAGGAATTTGTCCTGAGTAGCATTCAAATAATTGAAAAGGAGTATATTCCTCTTCTGGCCTTATGTATGATTACTCTGAAGTAAGCCCTATTGAACTTTGCAGACTTCAGTGCAAACCTCTAAAAACAAATATAATTGTCCATTTATATATTATCTACTCAGCAACTGTAGATTTTCTGCACATTGCTTTTTAAAGAATTATTTGTTGAGAAATTAGAGGAAACAATTGGAGAAATGTGACAATCCTAGACCAAGCCAAGTCCAAAAATGCCAGGAATTTCTAGAATCCCAGCACTCTGACAAATCGGCCATCAATAGTCACATAGACATTAACAACATCTATAGACTATGCAAAAGAGATAATCAACCAGCCCAAAAGAGAAAAAGACTCCAGCACCTCTCCACCAGTAATCAGCACTCAGCTCAGCAAAGATTAACTCCAAGGTTAACTTCAGACCAACTTCAAGTGAACAATATCCCAGTGAAGAAACTGCCAAAGACCCATCAGTAAACAGCCCAACCAAAGAATTTCTAAGACCTCCCACACAGACGGACAAGACACCAAAATACAAAACTGACAGCAAACAGCACCTCTTGCTAGCATTGATGATGTTACCTAGTTAATGTAATGAAACGTGCAAGAAAACAAGCAAGCTCAGAGAGCACCAAGGATCCATCAAACAAAATCTGCATTCAAACACTATGTTAATGTTGACCATATTTAAAAAACAAACAGGTACCTTTGGACAACCCCTCCCCCACCCCCAGGATAACTCCTAAATTTTCTGTTTAGATGGGATTTCGGGTTGATGTTGAAAAGAAAGATGTTGTGGAGAGAGACTGGCTGAGCCAGGAGGAGGTATCAAGCATGGATTAAGGTAGAATATTTACAGAGACACAAGAGAGCAAGGAGCAATACCCCTTGAATGCAGCTGAAACTTATCTAGCTTGACCCAGGTGTAGACTGCCAGCCTGGGAAGATTTCTGTGAAAGTAGCTAATTGAACTCTTCATGTGTAGATCTTGTGGTTCACGCACAACAAGTGTGTTCCTGATATTCTATATATATAGGGCACTGCTGGTCAGCAGTTACAGCATGGCTCTAGATCAGTGGTAGTCAACCTGGTCCCTACCGCCCACTAGTGGGTGTTCCAGCTTTCATGGTGGGCAGTTGTCTGATATTGAAGCACTTTCCTTTTTAAAATTTAATTGACTTCCCCACCTTATAAATCACCATTACTGTGGAACCGGTGGATGGTTAGAAAATTTTACTACTAACAGAGCTACAAAAATGGACGGTAGGTATAAAAACGTTGACTACCCCTGCTCTAGATAAATACACAGTCTAACTAGGTGTGAAGCAATTTGATTTGGTTTTAAGCATTGTACAAAATAAGCTATTTATTTTAGGGAAACTTCGGTATTGACTTTCAGCATCATCAATTGAAAAGAGACCCAAGGACTGAGCTGAGCTTTTCCAGCTGCAAAAATTCAACAAAAATAAAGCAACACAACAGAATAAAACCAGGTTACTAGCAAAGACATCTCAGTCAATTTGTTAGTAATGTACAGAAATGTGTGTAATGCTCTTGAAATAACATGGAAATAGTGCACAAAGACAAACAAAATCTCTTCCATACAAATGTTTTATATAGATACTCAAAGCTGACATGAACATTTAGCAACACCATTCCTCTCCTGGCATTAATTTGAATTTCCTGGTCGTGAATAGTGGTAGGACTTGAGACATGAGGTACATTTCCCTGAATGTGAAGACAAAACAGATGGGAAATCACTCTAACAGGCAATTAACAAACACAACCATCATTAATGTTTAATAAAACCAAAGGATAATAATCATGGCTGCCATAGCAACAGTGCAATAGGGTAGCTCCCATTGTCATCGCTAACGCAAAATATTGTGTTTTGTAGAACTTTTTAATATATATTTTTTCTTTGCAAACAACAAGCAGAATGTATAGCCAGGGCATACATCCAGTGCATGCTGGGGAAAGTGTGACAATCCTTCATGCAAACTAATTTTATGGGATGGCAGGGTGCCCTTCATTAGCTATCTCTTATGTGACCTGAATTGACCTCATACTAGGTGGCTGCATTAATAAGCAAAGAAAAGGGCATAGCCTTCCCAGTAATTAAGTAAACACTGCATATTCAAAAAGGGCTACAACCTAATTTTTATCTCTGTTTTCTACAGTGAAATCATCACATTTTCAAGGCTAAATTAATAACTGCATAAATCAAAGACATTTTTGTGGCTTTGTAACAAAATTAACTTCTCTTGATATTCTTCCTGTGACATTTCCTTCCAGAAAGCCACATTTAATCTTTTTTTTTATAACAATCAAGGGAAATTCATTTTCATGATCTATTCTTTAATAGCTAAGAGTCAGGTTTTTTCCCTCTCTTGACCTTGCCAATTCCCAATTTACGAGAAACTATCTTAGATTTGTAGAGGTGTTCGGTACTTGCGATACTGGGTCAATATAAAATCACAAGGCAGGGTCAGACACTGCAATTATTAAATTAATATTGGTAGAAGGAGTAATTTACAAAGCAATACATAAATGTGACACAAACTTCCTTGAGAAGCCTTTGGTTATTTTTTTTATATAGAAAATCTGTATTTGCTGATCTAGAAAAAAATAATCTGGGACAGTAAAAAGTGAAGAATAGTAAGGAGACAAGGGAGATGAATAATGTAAATTCAAACTAAAATTCAGACTATATTTAGTAGTACTACTTTTAGAGGCAGTGCTCATATATATCTGTCAAGTATAAGATTTAGTTTATTTGTATGCCGCCCTTCTCCGGGAGGGACTCAGGGCGGATGAAGCTCCATGTAGCTTTATGATAGGAAGAGTCCTCAGCTTGTCCAGCAGCGTACTAATAATTGCAATAGACTGTTTTCTTTACCAAGCATCTGGGTTTTTTTAACTATTCCATCTCCATCTTCTCCAAATCTGTAACAGAAAGCTCTTCCATCTTCTAGAAAATACACAGTAGATGCATTTGCTACAACTTTTGCTTTTTCGGCAGAACAAGATAGCATTGCAAAGTAGTGTTATAAAATAATTAATTACAGTCATTAATGGAAGGGTTCTCCGTGTGCCTGAGGAATTCTGGGAATTGAAATCTACACATTTTAAAGGCTCTGAGATTGAGAAGCACTATATGAAATGGCTGAGGGGAATCACTGGGGATTTTGGAGCAAGAGGCTACCAATATTTAGTTGACATTCTGCTTTATTTCTCCATAATACCCAAATCAAAAGAGGCTGTGTTGTGTCATAACTGCATAACATGTCTGGGTGCAGTGATAGGTAGAAGTGAGCCACTAAACATGTACTAATTTTGTGGGAGGGAGTTTTCCCAGGCTTGGGAAATGGGGGATTGATCTGCAAGGGTTGCACTCCTTCGAAAAGACTAGCAATAGCATTTAGACTTATATACCACTTCACAGTGCTTTACAGCCCTCTCTAAGCGGTTTACAGAGTCAGCATATTGCCCCCAACAATCTGGAACCTCATTTTACTGACCTCAAAAAGATGGAAGGCTGAGTCAACCTTGAGCCAGTGAGATTTAAGCTGCCAAACTTCTGGCAGCCGGCAGTCAGCAGAAGTAGTTTAGTTTAGTTTAGTTTAGTTTAGTTTAGTTTAGTTTAGGTTAGTTTAGGTTAGGTTAGGTTAGGTTAGGTTAGTAGTCTGCAGTACTGCATTCTAAATTCTGCGCCACCACGTCTCAGAAAAGGAAATATAGGCTTGAGTGTGTTGATAGAATCTTCATTGTAATTGGATCTAGGGATGCCTATAATTAATTCTGTTCAATATGCACCCAATGCCTGTTCATGGATAAGGATAGCCAAGCTATAACTGTTCATGCATTGGTAACCTCACATTTAGATCATTTACTTGGAGCTACGTTTGCATTTGGTCCAAATGTTGTATTTGGTGCATATTACAGCAGCCAAATTGTGGGCCTGGCCACACTTACCTTAACACATTTCTTGAAACAATTTCATATTGACCAAGTCAGGTTCAGGGACATGGATATTTCCCAGATTGCTGCTGACCTTATAATTGATTGATTGATTGATTGATTGATTGATTGATTGGATTTCTATAGCTGTCCACCTCAATCAATCACTTTGGATGGTTTACAATTCAAAAAGATTTGGCCAGTCATTGAGATTCTCTGCTCATCTAGTGAGGATGGTTGATTCTCATGAGTTGACTCTATCCATGGTACTTACCCACACTTTGGAATGCTGGAAGAATAATTCATTTTCTTCCTCTTGTCTCCTATAAATCAATGGTGCTTTATATTGTTTTAAGATCTATTTTGTATATATTTTATTGTTACTTTTATTGTTCACTTCTTTGAGATGTTTTGGCAAAAGGAGGGCTATATAGGTATATTGGATAAATAAGAAACAAACAGTGGATCTTATGGTAATTTGTAATAAATCCAAAACAAAGAATAATGTCACATCTTAATATTGCTATGCTTCTAAGACATGACTGGAATAATAATGGCTTCTCTATTTAGAAAGAGCATAATTGGTGCGTATAGTTGGGCAAAAGCCCTCCTAGACACAACTGCCTCCTGCTCTTTAATCAGTGAGTCCAGAAGGACCTCCGGATTATGCACTGCACCCATCTGGGACAGTGCAACACATCCTAGACTAAGGATGGTAAATCCCTTAAACTTTAAATTCTAGGCTTCTTCATCCAGCCATTCACAGTTAGTGGATACATGGTCAGTTTCTGAATGGCCTGGAGCTGGTAGAGGTGATGATTGCACTGTTTACATCAAGTTTTCTCCTTGTCAGGGTCAGCTGTTACAATTGCGATTAACCAGATATCTATCTATCTATCTATCTATCTATCTATCTATCTATCTATCTATCTATCTATCTATCTATCTATCTATCTATCTATCTATCTATCTATCTATCTATCTATCTATCTATCTATCTATCTATCTCTATATCTATCTATCAATCAATCAATCATCTATCTATCATCTATCTATCTATCCTCTAACCATTCATCTATCATCTATCTATCATCCATCCATCTATCCATCCATCCATCCATCTGTGATCTATCTCAAATCAAATTTGTTAGTCACTACATTCAATACAACTCTTTGCCTCCGTCCATTTTATTAAATAAACATATATTGGTTTGAGTTTTGCCATTACTGCCATGTTACCATCTCTGAAGAGACAGTCTGATACTAGAGTTTCACTAAGGTCAGCACCAGCATAGACTTGTTTCAAGATTACATATAATTGATTTTATTTTTTCTTCATACAGATGAATGATGTCCTGCTGTATACATATCCCCAGAAGGATGGCAAATATCGCCTTAAAAACACATTGGCTGTGTCGGACATGAAGGTAATGTAACAATAAAGGAGGATATGTGTAACTCAGGGTTGAAATGAGGGGTCCTTGGTACTCTCTGAGCTTGCTTGTTTTCTTGCAGATGTTTCACTACCCAAACTAAGTGACTTCATCATTGTACTGATGAAGTTACCTAGTTTGTATAATGAAATGTCTGCAAAAAAACAAGCAAGCTCAGAAAGCACCAAGCTTCCCTCCCCCATTTTTTAATGTACTATTATGTTTTGTTTATCTAAAATTTCTTTGTTTTGAATAAAACCAAAATAAAATGGAACATATATACTGTCCAATCAGGATTCCTTTCTCCATAACTGCTAGGATTTGGTAATGCTATGGGAGAAAAGAACTTCACAGTCAATCACTGTGTAGTGAAGAGTTCTGTTGAATTTGCAGAACACAAAAAATAATATTTAGATTGGAGTTTTCTGGAACATTGTGATGATTGATCTTGTACTTTACTATTGATCTCCATGTGATTCACCATCTTTTTCACATTTTTTAAAATTTGATCAGAAGGGAATCAGCAGGTGTGGCTGCACAGAATTAGAAAACATGACCAAGCAATGCATACCATTTCAATGTAATTCATTTTTAAGGGAGGGGAGTATTACTTTTTCACAGTCTTACTTAACGGGTCTGACTCTTCAATTATCAATGATTTCCTGCTTTAAGAAAAAATAAAGCTTATCCAGAAAACAATAAACCAGGGACCAGCCTCACTTTCGTATTCTGGAAAACATTGAAAATTATTAATTTTATTGTTTTGTGATCATTCTGCCCTTGAAAAGTGTTTGAAGACTTCAGCTAGTCCAGAATGCAGCCACGCGAGCGATTGTGGGTGCACCCAGGTACACCCACGTTACACCTATCCTCCGCGAGCTGCACTGGCTACCCATTGGTCTCCGGACACACTTCAAGGTATTAGTCGTTACTTATAAATCCCTGCATGGCATCGGACCTGGGTACCTGAGAGACCGCCTCCTGCCAATCACCTCCCAAAGACCGATTCGATCTCACACGCTTGGCCTTCTCCGGGTTCCATC